AACCAATCCTGATTACTTCCTTCCCCACATGGGCCAATTTCAAAGTTGGTTTAAAGGGCTGAAATTGCTTTCTGCATTTCCCCCTTCTCTTTAAGTTTTCCATCTCACCTCTTAAGCAGTTTACACTGGATACTATCCCAGTCTTTCAGGTCCTTTATCTTCTCCAGTAATTTATCTTCTTTTTGCCGTTTCTCCTCGTACCAAAAGCTCTATTCTCCTGACTCTAGAGAAACATTTATACCTCAGTCGGCCTCTGGTCTCTAGTCCGCTGTACAGTCTTTACGCTTTGCTTCTCCTCTTATTTTGTATTACCTCTTATTATCAGATATAAACACACTTGAAATTCGTTAGACCCAACTGTAAAAATCTGTAACTTGTCACAAGCAGGATACAAATTGAATGAATGAATCAATCAATCATATTTCAGTTGACATTTTCCAGACATCCCCCAACTCCTTTATTAGCAGCAGAAATGAAAGTTTTGCACAAACATTAAGGAGGGGAAAAACACAGCAAAATTTTCAGGCTCACCTATCCTCAAAATTAAATTCTGGTAAGTGCTCCAAATCCTCATATAGTCTTCAAGAACACCAGATGTCACGCCAGCATGACCGTCCGTTTTAGCAAATAAAAAAACAAGTGTTTCAACTGGATGGGGTGCCTTTCACTTGCCACTCCCAGTACAAAATGTTCAGCTCACAAGCCTTTAAACACCGATCTCATCATCGTGTCCCCCTCCCCCATTAATTTTAGCTGACTTTTAAGGGAATGAATCAGGAATCCTTTCAGTTTGGAGATGAAAAAGGGTACGATGCCTGATACCTTCCTCTTATGTGATGAACAAGGAGTGAGATTTTTCTATTTCCTTTCTCTCAGGTGAAGAACAGGGCAAGAAGAACACTCTGAAAACAACTGATCCTGAAAGAGGAAAAGAGGAATTTGGAAATACAGGGGAACAAAAAAGATCATAAGAAGGAATCCTGTGTCTCTCGAAGCTGTGAGGTGTTTGAGCCCCAGAACCGAATCACCAAAGAAAGAGTCAAGGAAGCAGCCCAGTGTGTGAAGAAATAACCCCTGTAAGTGTAGCTCTAAAAGGCACTGCAGACGGCCTGTGCAGTGGGGTGGATCTTGTATGAAAATGCAAAATACCCACGCAACGGAGAAACCATATAAAGGTTCGGTTTGCGGCAAGAGCTTATCTCAGAGTGGAAATCTACAGTCGTATCAACTGAACCACACAGGAGAAAAACCATATAAATATGTTAAATGTGCAAAGAACTTCAGTCAGAGGAGTCAGCTTAATGTACATCAAAGGACCCACACAGGGACGAAGCCATATAAATGCATGGAATGTGGAAAGCGCTTTAGTCAAAAAGGTAACCTTGGTTTACATCAAAAGACGCACACAGGAGAGAAACCCTATGCGTGCCTTGAATGTGGGAAGACATTCAGATTGAGTAGATCCCTACATATACATCAAAGGACCCACACAGGGGAGAAGCCGTATAAATGCATGGAGTGTGGAAAGTGCTTTAGTCAGAAAGGTAACTTTGATTTACATCAAAAGATGCACACAGGAGAGAAACCCTATGCGTGCCTTGAATGTGGGAAGACATTCAGATTGAGTAGATCCCTACATATACATCAAAGGACCCACACAGGGGAGAAGCC